AGTTCTGAGGGGGGCAGTCAGGGGGCCGGAAGTGGGAGGGGACGGATAGGGGTGGGGGCCATGCTGTTTGGGGAGGCACAGACTTCCCTACCCGGCCCTCCATACAGTTTAGCAACCCCAGTGTGGCCCTCAGGCCAAAAAGTTTGCCCACCCCTGGCTCAGACCCTGCTCCCCCGGGCGAGGATCCCCCGACGTCCATCGCTGGTTTCGCTTTTATTCCGACTTGACCTGCCAGGGTAGCGCTGAGGTCAGCCCTGCACAAAGAGCCAGGAAAACTGCCCAGGCCGGGCTCAGCCTGCCCCTCCTCCAGGGCGCCTGGACCCCCGTCTGCCTGTGTGCAACTCTCAGCACATCGCTGCCATGGCAGGAACTAATGACAGAACGTGACTCTCCCCGGGCAAGTGGAATTAATGGCCGAGCCCAGGGAGATTCGCTGGCCGGCCCAGGGGGTGACAGGAGTGCACGGCAGGGGGATTAGGGCGGTGCTGTGCCCCTGCATGGTCATTGGCAGCACCGATTTGAGCCTGCCACCGCTGGATCTTAAAGCAGCCGCCTGAGCTAAGAACCAGCTGTAGCAGGCTTATTGCCCACTGTATGTGGCCCAGCCACCACTGGGGGGGGCTCGAGTGCTGCCCTCAGCAGGTTGGTTCTGGCCAGGGAAGCACCTTTGGAGGTCCCAGGTTTGATTCCCGCAGCCGATGACCTGTCCAGGGCATGGTGTTATGAGGGATGGCCCGTGCAGGGAGCTGGGCTGGGTGGATGTGCATCAGCGTGCCCTTGTTGCCAAGAAGGCTAACGGCATTTGGGGCTGTATAAGTAGGGGCATTGCCAGCAGATCGAGGGACGTGATCGTTCCCCTCTATTCGGCATTGGTGAGGCCTCATTTGGGGTACTATGTCCAGTTTTGGGTCCCCCGCTACAAGAAGGATGTGGGAAAAATTGGAAAGAGTCCAGCGGAGGGCAACAAAAATGATTAGGGGGCTGGAGCACATGATTTATGAGGAGAGGCTGAGGAAACTGGGATTGTTTAGTCTGCAGAAGAGAAGAATGAGGATTTGTTAGCTGCTTTCAACTCCCTGAAAGGGGGTTCCAAAGTGGATGGAGCTCGGCTGTTCTCAGTGGTGGCAGATGACAGAACAAGGAGCAATGGTCTCAAGTTGCAGTGGGGGAGGTCTAGGTTGGATATTAGGAAACACTATTTCACTAGGAGGGTGATGAAGCACTGGAATGGGTTACCTAGGGAGGTGGTGGAATCTCCTTCCTTAGAGGTTTTTAAGGTCAGGCTTGACAAAGCCCTGGCTGGGATGATTTAGTTGGGGATTGGTCCTTCTTTGAGCAGGGGGTTGGACTAGATACCTCCTGAGGTCCCTTCCAACCCTGAGATTCTATGATGAGCTTCCCCAGCCTGTGAAGTCCAAGGCCCTCGTCTCCCTCCATGAGAGCCGGGTTCTCTCAGCTCCCCAGCACTGTTCTCGGTGAGCGGCCCCATTGATTCCAATGGGAGCAGTGGCAGAGAACAAGGTTGCTCTCCAGAGCAATGCCGCTAGATGTCGTGGTGTTTCAATGCTCAGGCGTTTCCTTGGGCTCTCTGCGCCTTGGGAAGGTGCTGATCGGAGCAGGCACCGTACAAGTTCCAGACATGACCACGCCAAGGAAATATGTATTCTGCAAACCGGGCTTTTCCCTGCACTCCTCAGCCCCCTGCCCGTATGGGAGTGGCACAAGCTAGGGGCAAACCAATGGGCTGCAGCCACTTTAAGCTGCTTAAAGGCATTTTCTCTCTCCTTTTTCCGTCCTCCATCCACACTGCAAAAATAGAGGTTGGCAAACCTTTCAAGGCCGAGCCTCCCCGTAGTTCCCCAAGCGGGTGGCAAGCCCGTTTCCAGTTAAATAGCCTGAATTTCAGAGATTGGCTCCTACACATCTCACGCCCGTTGCAGGGTGTCAACATTTAAAGGCCAGTCACTCTAGTTTGCAGGAACAGGAAGGGCTGGTTCTGACCTAGCTCAGCGGGATTGATCCGGTCTCTAGCGCAGCTCCGCTGACCGCCCCAGCTGTGAGCCTTGCATCACCCTGTCTTCTTGCATCCTTTGTGGGGAGGAGGACGACCTATTTCTGGGGCTGGAGCTGCAGAACTGAACTGTGATGCAATGACTCAGGCATAGTGCAATTTCCTGCCTTTGGAGATGGGTCAGCCTCCGGAGATAGCAACAAGGGGCCCTTCGGCCTGCTGCTGCGGGATTCGCAGTCAGGGGAATGCAGGCTGGGGTGATGGGTGTAGTAGGAAAGGCCCAGGGCTGTGAGATGTTGCCGGGGGGGGGTGGGTGCTTCCAGGCGGGTGCAATCTGCCTCCCGGAGCCTGCGGGCTCTGCTAGCACAGGGGCCTGCTCCCTGAGACGTCAGCTGAGGGTGGAGGTATGGAGCACTCTCAGGGGAACCAGCGCAGGGCTCTGTGGGACGATGATGGCTACCCGAGAGGCTGGGGAACCAGGGGGCGGGGGAAGCCCTGCACTCACAGCTCGCTGTGAAGGCCTGGGGGGCCCCAGCGCTGGGCTGTGGGGCCTGCAGCTGTCTGAGCGCATGGGTCCCCACTGCGACCAGAGAGGGACTTGAAGGAAGTGAAACTAGGGGGGAAAGGGGCTTTGTATCACCCCTCCCCCAGCTCCCCATCCCTCACGGCTCAGCCCCACCCTAGTCTGAGGTCCCCTTTCTGACCCCTTTTAGGCACTCCCAGGGCCGGGCCAGTTCCCTGCCCCAGGACTGCACCAGGCAACGGGGCTTCCACCCTTTTCCAACTCCACCTTCCAGGAGACTTCGCTGCCAGGGGGAGACCTTCCTAGTCTGTTCTCCACAGCCCAGCTCAGCTCCATGTGTTGCTCGTTCCAGCCCCTTGGGCCCACCCCAGATGCGCCCTCCCTCTTGATGAGAGGTAGCGCCCTTCAGATACATGGTCTCCCTTGTCCTCCACTTTGGTGGAGGGGCTGAGGGTTGAGTGGGCCATGGGAACTCGCCTCTCACGTGGGATAGGTGGGACGTTGTCCTGCGGATAACTAGAGTCCTCAGACCCCAGGGCTGTCAAGCCGGCCCCTTCCACTACCACTGAGTGCCCCAGGGGGGGTGTGGGTAATTGTCCAGGACAAAGGCTCCCTCCCCATCAAGCCTATGATCCAGCAGTGGGCTGCGCTGAGCTCCAAGCATGGTGGTTTTCCAGCGGCTATTTCCGGGAGACGATCCGCCGGGACATCCGCAAGGCCCGGGAGATGTACAGCGGGGAGCAGCTGAGCCGGGAGCTGGCCAACATCCAGCAGCGTCTGGACAGCGTGGAGCTCCTCAGCCTGGACATCGTCATGAACCTTCTCCTGTCCTATCGGGATGTGCAGGTGAGCCGCCCCCGGCCCGCGCCAGCAGGGCGGGTGGGACGATGGGTGAGGCGGGCGGTGGCTGGGTCCTCAGAAGGAAGCGTGGCCTTGGGAGCACCAGCCCAAGCTCACGGGAGATGGCTGCAGAGGTGGGGTCGCTGCCTGGGATGCCCAGGGGTAGGCCCTGGCTTGTGGCTTTCAAAGGAGGTTGCTGGCCCTGGGTCACAGACACGAGCATGTGCAGCGCTGGCCCACGGCTCTCCAAGGGGGAGCTGGTGGGGCTCGCCAGGGTCCCCGGATGCAGAGCCCCCATCCTTGGCCAGTGCGTGTGTCGCTGCAGCCGGCTGCCCAGCAGGCCTGGCTGTCACCAAGGCGGTGGGTGGCCATGCTGGAAGAAAGGTCTCCCGCAGGACACCGGGGTTCTGCAGGCTCCACTGCCTGTCCTGGCACAAGGGCCATTTCCTCGAGTGCACCACGACCTCCGCATGCGTGGCACAGAAGGAGCTGCGATCCTGAGTGGCGTGGTTTGCCCGCCCCACTGCCGAGCCCCCTGTGCTGCGTCAGGCCCGGCCTATCCCCCCCCCCGGGACCTCCTCTGCCTGACCCCCGGCTTCCTCGGCAGGACTACGACGCCATCATCAGGCTGGTGGAGACGCTGCAGGCCCTGCCCACCTGCGACGTGGCCGAACAGCACAACATCCGCTTCCAGTACACCTTCGCCCTCGAAAGGTGAGACGCTTCCTTGGGCAGGCGCAGGCCCCGCTCCCAGCCCCACGGGGTGCCGAGCGCCCTCTGCTGCCAGTGGAGCTGGTGGGCACCCGTCGCACTGGGCCGGGTGCTCGGCAGGGGAAGGACAGGGTGTCCTGCGTATGGACGCCGGTGCTGGGCTGAGAGGATCGAAGCCTGAAATGCTCCCTCCACCGGGCAGCATCCGAGCAAGCTTCCGCCAGGCTGCCCCTGCCCAGTCTGGGGATAAGAGGGGAGATCAGTCCCCGGGGTCCATTCAGCCCTCGGCCTCTGCAGCGACAGAGCACAAAGAGGGCGTTATATCCTGCCGGGCTGAGAGCCATTGGCCTGGGGAGTGGAGCTTGGACCCCAGCTCTCTCTTTGATGCTCCTCTTTGGGGCGTTGGCTTGTTGTGTCTGGCGGTTGAGCACGCCCGTTATCTGGGCAGGCGGAACCAGCCCGGGGACCGGGAGAAGGCTCTCTCCGTGCTCCTGCCGGTGGTTGAGAGGCGAGAAGGAGCGGCGCCCGACCTGTACTGCATGTGTGGCCGCATTTACAAGGACATGTTCATCGGCTCCGGCTTCACGGACACGGAGAAAAGGGACCAGGCCTTTTACTGGTAAGAGCCAGGGCGGGGGGGCTCTCTGGCGGGGATGGGGTGAGAGGCCCGTGCCAGGGAGACTGGGGTGGGCTCCTTGGGCCAGCGGGGTTTTGAGCACAGACACGGAGCACGTGCACTTGGCTGGGTGTGCAGCCACTCCTGAGCGTGTGCATGGGTCTATGGGCTTTGCTGGGTTCTGGACGTCTGGGTTCAGTTCCTGGAAGGGACAATGTAGAGGCAGATAAGCTGAGTTTATGGGGTGTTACGGAGGAGACCTTACAGGACATGGGAGAGAAGCCGGGAAGGACAGCTCCCCCCCTCGCCCCGAATTCCAAGGGACCCCCTCAGTGACTCATCTGGCCACAGAGTGCAAGAGAGACAAACCCATAAAACCCACACACCTCATAGCCCTTCCTTGGGCCATCATCTGGAGCAAGTGGGTATTAGAGACACCCTCCCCTTTGGCACCTTGAGAGTCCTAGCTCCCCTGGCATTGGAATTAATGTCCCTTCCCTGCACTGCCATATATGGGTTGTTTGCTGCCCACCACCCCAGAGCTGGCTGCATTTCAGTGGTGCTGCCTGGGATCCGGCCGGGTGACTGTTTCGTCACTGGCATCTCTGCATGTTTGAACTCCCCAGGTACAGCAAAGCCTTTGACACGGAGCCGAGCCTCCACTCTGGGATTAACTCTGCCGTCCTGCTCATAGCAGCCGGGCACCAGTTCGAAACCTCCGTGCAGCTCCGGCAAATAGGTGAGTGGCTCTTCCCCTGCCGCCGTCGTGTGTGGGTAAAGCACCGTGGGCCTCCGGGGATTATAACAGGCTCTCCCGTAGTCCTGGCACGGCCTGGACGATGGCCCAAGGAAGGGCTATGAGGTGTGTGGGGTTTATGGGTTTGTCTCTCTTGCACTCTGTGGCCAGATGAGTCACTGAGGGAGTCCCTTGGAATTCGGGGGGAGGGGGGAGCTGTCCGTCCCGGCTTCTCTCCCATGTCTTGTGCAGTTCAAGCGGCAAGGGAAGGGGAAGCTTCATCTGCTAGAGACTGGGGGACGTTCTTTGGTTTGGGGTGGGCGTGTAGCGAGAGCAGGGGGTACGGCTGGGGGCGCTGAGCCATGGGGGGTGGGGGGAGAGCGTGGAGTGGGCGGGGCTGGGCTGAAGGGAGCAGGTGAAGCGTGGGGGTGAGCCGAGGGGACGGGGGAAGGCAGAATGGGGCAGGGCGGTGGCTGGGCGGGCCTGCCCTGCCCGGGCGTGTCTCCGCCCTGCCCTCAGCGGTGAAGAGGAAACTTCCCCCCAACCCCCCCCCTCAGGCGTCAAGCTGAGCTGTCTGCTGAGCAATAAGGGCAGCGTGGAAAAGATGCAGTATTACTGGGACGTGGGCTTCTACCTGGGCGCCTGGATCCTGGCCAACGACGTGGGCAAAGTCATCCGGGCCTCGGAGAAGCTCTACAAGCTCAATGCCCCCGTCTGGTAGGTGGCAGAAATGCCAGCCCCTCCCCAGAGCCTATGGGGGACCCCCAAACAGCAGCACCCTGCCTGTGCCTCCGGGAGGGGAGCTCTGCCAGGGGAGGGCAGATCGGCATTTGACTCAGCTTGGCCAGCTTCGGGGGCCAGGGTCTCCTCTAGTGGCCCCTTGCGTGGGAGGTTTCCCGCAGGGGAATGAGGCAGCCCGTGGGGCTTTCCCAGTGAACCGCGGGGAGAACTTGTCCATCCTGGGCACGTGGGGGACGGCACGGGAGACCTGGCAGCACCCAGAAGCTGTTTCCGCGGGGGGGTGTCCCTCCCTTCCGTCTCACCCTCTGCCCTGGCTGTCACTGCAGGTACCTGGCCTCCGTCATGGAGACCTTCCTCTTGTACAAACACTTCAAGACCTGCCCAGAGACCAAGACGCCCAAGCAGGAGCAGGCTGACTTCTGGATGGGCTTCCTGCTGGCGTCCTGCCAGCCCTTCGTCTCCACGGAGCGCTGCCCGGTGAGGAGCCTGCTGGTGCTCGGCGCGGCGGGTCGGCTCCGTGCGTTGAGTCCAGTCCCGTCGCGCCGCTAGAGCTGCCTCCGGCCTGGCGCGTGCTGACAATAAGGGAGGGTGAGGGCAGAGTTAGCCCGGGTGATTGGCGCCCAGGTCGGAGCATGGGATGGGAGGGGTTTGTCGGTGGGTGGGGGTGGGGGCTAGGGTCCACACCCAAGGGAAAGCCAGGCCAGCTGTGTGGTGAAGACAGACCCGGCGGCTACTGCTGCCCCGTCGCCCTGGTAACAAACCAGACAGGTGTGCAGGAGCCGGGGGTGATGGTGGCCATCTGGCTTGTGGGTTTCAGTCACCAGTGCTGCTGTGTAGGGGTCGGAGCAGGCTCCTGGCAGCAGGGGGAGAGCAGAGCCTGGAGCCGGCCCTTTGCCGGTTAAAATGTGCTCCGGGCTGGGGGGTGTATCAGGGAGGGATACTGGGGGCTCCAGGAGAGGAAGCAGGATCCTTAGGTGAAAGGAGAAGAATATCGGCATTGATTGGGGTCCTCACCCCCAACCCCATCATGGGGTCCCCTGCCTCCAGCCCCTTGGGGATGCAATGAAAGGGGGCAAAGACCCCCCCACACCAGCCTCTCTCTCCGCCTCCCTTCCAGGTGCTGATTCTGGAGCTGAACAAAGTCCTGCAGCCAGCCCAGCTGACGGTGTGCAATTGCGAGGCTGAAAAGTCGGTGACGGTGTGCCACATCTGCCCCCCGGAGGAGGTAGGGCGGCTCGGAGCCCAGGGAGCGAGCCCACCCCTTTGCCGCCCCTGATGGCGACGACTTTCTGGGCTCTCGTTGTTCACGCTGCGTGTTTTTTTGGGGTTTATTTTCCCCCTAGAGAGGGATCTCCAGCTGGACCTTTCCGGCTTCCTCCATCCGTGGAATCAGGTGAGGAGTTTAACTCTTCGGTTGCCCTTTGGGGTAGCCTCTCCTTCAGCCTCGGCGCTCCCTGGTTAGCCTGCGTCCACCCGGAAATCCTCTCTCCGTCCCCAGCAGAACCCTCCTCTCCCAGCACCCTCTTTGCACTGGGGAAATGTCCATCTTCGTTCCCATGCCCAGGGCTAGCTGGAAGCCGGGGGTGGGGGGGTAAGCCTGGCTCCCCCAGCTGAGTGCCTGGCCCTTAGTGGGTCCTGTAGTAGGTGTTGGCCTCCCTAGCTGCGTATGGCACAAGGAGCCAGAGAGGGACCTGCCTGTAGGCAGGAGGTGGGCAGCTGGGAAGGTCTTGTGCTGCCTGGCAGAGCAGACTCCAAGGGCCATGGCATAGCCGGTTCGTTCAGTGACCAGCCCCCTGCAAGGGTGGAGTGGGGGGCACGGCTGGCCCTGAACGCTCTGTGAGCGTCGCCCCAAGGGGGCTGGCGTGGCAGGGAGGAGCCTGTTAGCTGGAGTGCCAGCCCCAGAGCTCTGGATGTGCCCGCACCCCTCCCCAGCTCACCCCCAGGGCCTGCAGCCCCATTGCTCCTGCTGATGGTGCCGCCGGCCTGGTGCGGGGGCCCGTGCCAAGCCGCAAGGGCAGAGCAGCCCGGGAGCACACTGGAGCTGGGGGAGGTTTCTGGGGTGAGGCTCGGGTGGGAGCAGCCCCCCCCTCCCCCGCTACGCTCACTGTGGGGTGTGGGGGCCGGCCCCTCTCTCTCTCTCCAGCATCTCCAAGTGTGACGAGCGCTGCTGCTTCCTGTATGTGCTGCACACGGCCGAGGACTTCCAGCTGTACTTCCCCACCCAGCACCACTGCCAATGGTGAGCCAGGGGGTGGGGGAGGGGAGGGGCAGGGCCCCCCAATGCCTCTGCCAATGGTGGGTTGAGGGCACTGGGGTAGGGGAGGGGCAGGGACCCCCAACGCTGCTACTGCTGGTGGGTCAGGGGTGCTGGTGATGGGGCAGGATGGGGAGGCAGAGGGACCCCCTAGCACCATGGCGCTGGTGAGCTGTGGGGACGGGATAAAGGATCTGTCCCCCGACCCAGAGCCCCTGCTGGGGGTGGGGGGAGCAGCTGCCCTGGGCTGGGTTTGAGGGGTGAAGGGCCAGGCGGGGAAGGGAGCCGGAAGAGACTTCATCCCCATCCTGGCAGCTGGGGCCCAGGCTGTGGGGCTGCCCTAGGCCCTGCCCCACACATGGCATTGCTGTGTCTGCCCAGGGGTCCCGTGGTTCTGCCAGCCAGCAGGGTTGGCGCTCTGCCAGGGTGGGTCGCTGAGCCGGTGTGTGGTGGTGGGGAGGTTCTCCAGGGCCCGTTGCCCAGCCTGGGAGCCCCCGAAGGGGCCGGGCAGTGGGGCCACGCCCAGGCACGCTCTCCCTTCTCTGCCGGCAGGTTCTGCAAGCTGATTCACTCCTTCGTGGCCGAGCTGGCGGTGGGGGGCGAGGAGGCGGGCGACGGCCTGGATGAGGACCTGGAGGTGAGTGCCGGGGGCGGGCGCGGGCTCGCACTCGGAGCAGGCGTCTCTGGTGGATACTGGGGTGCAGCTCGCGGAGCTGGGGGTGCATGAGGGGCTTGGCAGGGGCAGCTAGCCCCAGGCACGCTGACCCTTCTCTGGCCTGCGCAGTACGACTACGAATACACAGAGACGGGTGACAGGGTGATCCTGGGCAAGGGGACCTACGGGGTCGTCTACGCCGGGCGGGACCTCAGCAACCAGGTGCGCATCGCCATCAAGGAGATCCCGGAGCGGGACAGCAGGTAGGAGCCGCGGGGTGGGCGGGGAGGTGCTTCCTGTGGACCCCTCTGTCCTGTTTTGAGCTTCAGCCCAGACCAGTCAGAGCTGTCACCCTGAGAGCCCCGTAGCTCCCAGCCAGCAGACGAGCATGCCCTGCGTGTCGGTGTGTAAAGTCAAACCAGGGTATTGAATCCAGCTCCAGATCTCTGGGGCTCTTTGCCCCTCTTTTCTAGGCCGAGACCAGTGCCCCCACTGTGCGGAAAGGTGCCAGGGAGTCTGGTGGAGAAGGCTCCATGCTGGTCTCTCCCCCGCCGGCGCTTTCCGCGATACACACGGATCTGCCCCGGCATCCTCCTCTGTGTCAGCGAGTGGCCAATTGCAGCTGGATGGAGACGTCGGGAAGCAGCCTGCTTCCCCGCTCCCCAGCCGTGTCCGCTTCGAACACGTTTTAGTTCCGTGTTTCCTACCTTTGGGGGGTTACCGTACACGCCCCACGCAAGAATATCAGAGATCAGGGTGTTATCGGTTTTCCGATGGCCCCTCACGCGACCCCCATTAGGTACCGATCTGACATTGGTGAGTTGGGGTATGGCCGAAACTCCTTGCCCCATACCAGTGACCCTCAGGCAATGGGTCCTGAGGAAAGTCAGGGTACCCAGCAGCATGGTGATCTGGGGCCGTGGGGGTGGGGGCACAGGAGGTAGATGAGTGTGACTTGGTGTGCAAGAGTCCCATTGTGAGCGCACTAGTGTCAGGGTGGATGGGCACCTGCCTGGTCCTGGTTCTCACCTGCCCTTCCTGCCCCGCTGGGAGGGGATGGCCTTGCTGAGTGCGGGGCACTGCAGCCCCATTGCCCAGCCCCTTGGGAGGGAGCAGGCAGGCTTGGCCCTTTACCCTCACTGCCCCGGTTCCCGCCCTGTAGGTACTCGCAGCCCCTGCACGAGGAGATCGCCCTGCACAAGCGCCTGCGGCACCGGAACATCGTCCAGTACCTGGGCTCCATCAGCCAGGACGGCTTCATCAAGATCTTCATGGAGGAGGTGCCGGGAGGTAGGCGAGTGAGCGCCCGCCCCAGGCTGGGGATGCCGAGGAGAGAGGCGGCCAAACCTGGGGTCTCCTGCACAGAGCAGGGTGCCCCAGCCTGGGAACGTGCTGCCGTCCATCTGGCCTGTCGCAGACCCCATGTCCCAGGCTAGCTGTCTCCTGCCCTTGGCGGCCCTTGGCTCTAATGTGGCCTGGGGTCTTCTCGGGGGTTCCTAACAGCCTCGCATTGCTCCTGCCCTGCCCCATTCTGTGCCAGCCCTGGGCCTGGGGTGTGACGCTGGGGCGGGGCCGGGCCGGGTTCCCCTGTGCTGGGGCGTGGGGACTCGGGGTGGGCACACGGGCTCAGTGGGGTTCCAATCTCCGTCCCCGTCCCCAGGGAGCCTCTCGTCCCTCCTGCGCTCCAAGTGGGGCCCCCTGAAGGACAACGAGCCCACCATCGTGTTCTACACCAAGCAGATCCTGGAGGGCCTGCGCTACCTGCACGACAACCAGATCGTCCACCGGGACATCAAGGTGAGGGCGTTGGCTGGCCCATGCGAGTGCGGGGTGGGAGAAATGGCAGCTGACTAGGGCCCACCTAGCTTACGGGGCCCGGGGCCTTCCCCGGACTGGAGGGGAATGGTGGGCTAATCCAGGGACTCCGCCACCCTCAAGGCTGCTAGCCGGGCCCTGGGCTCTGTGCTGAGTCCCAGGATGGTTTCCAACACCTGCTCCGGTCTCCGCAAAGCCGCCGGTGTCCCAAGCAGGGCCCCGGCCTGCCCCCAGCTCTGGGAGTTCCAGGGCATCTGGTCTCACCGCCCCCTCCACCTCTCCTGGCCCCACAGATGGGGTGGATCCACCCTCGACCCCCAGAGCAGGACAGAGCGGGAGCGAGGGGCATTAGCGGATCTGGGGGAGGGGGGAGCACACCCTGTCTCTGAGCACTCGCCCCGGGAGGCTCTCCACAGCTGTGACCTGTTCTGATTGGGGGGCGGCGTTTGACAGGGAGACAACGTTCTTATCAACACCTACAGCGGGGTGCTGAAGATCTCTGACTTCGGGACCTCCAAGAGGCTGGCTGGGATGAGCCCCTGCGCCGAGACCTTCACAGGTGAGGGGCTCTGGTGCAAGCCCCCCGCATTGGGTTACGGCATGCTGGGCTGTGAGAAGGGGCCATTTGCCATCTTCCCCCTCCCACCCCCGATGGGGGACACTGAGGCCCAGTGCCAAGCACAGGGGCATCCTCGGGACCAGGCAGGAGGGGAGGGAAGGGGTCCCCGGCTCATCTGGGTTTGGGAGGGGCTCGCTGTGTTGGGGGCTGGCTTCCCTCAGTTGCTCTGGTCTCTTTCCAGGCACCCTGCAGTATATGGCCCCGGAGATCATTGACCAGGGCCCCCGAGGCTACGGGAAGCCGGCCGATATCTGGTCCCTGGGCTGCACCATCATCGAGATGGCCACGGGCAACCCCCCGTTCTATGAGCTAGGCAGCCCGCAGGCCGCCATGTTCAAGGTGAGGACGGGGCTCGCTGGTACCGTCGGGGGGGGGGCGGGGCTGACTGCTCGAGCTCCTCTCTGAGTGTGGGGGCTGGCGGGGGAGGGTTATGGCTTCCCCCACTACAAAATGGGGGGGGTGAGTCTCGCTGTGGCTCCCAGTGGACAAGTGGCCATGCCCCCGTCTGGCCGCCACAGCCACTGACCAGCCCCTCGTTGGCCGCCTCGGCAGAGAGACTAGGGCCTGACTGAGGCCCATTGGGTGACGTGGGGGAAACTGGTGCTGCCCGCACAGCGGGGTACCTGTGGGGGAGTGAGCCAAGGGGCAGTGCCCCTCTGGGCCCACTCCCTGCTAGGTGGGGACGGGGGGTCAGGGCTCTGTGATGGCCCCTCCCTCATCTCCCTCTCCAGGTGGGCATGTTCAAGATGCACCCCGAGGTGCCCGACTCCATGTCGGGGGCAGCCAAGGCCTTCATTCTCCGGTGCTTCGAGGTGGATCCGGATCAGCGGGCACCCGCTGCAGCCCTGCTCCAGGAGCCCTTCCTGACAGCCCCCAGCAGGAAGAAAACCAGGAACCAGGCCGTGCCAGCATCGGAGGGAGGCACACTGGGGGCGGGTGAGCTAGGAGGCAGGAGAAGGATATTGGGGACAGGGGCAAGCCCTGGGTGGGGGGGGGCAGGAGGAGGAGATGGGAGGGAGCCGGGGGGGGGCAGGAAGAGGCCTGAGGGCTTGGGGGGCGGGACATGGTATCTCGCAGGTGGGCTGTGTTCCCTGGAGGAGCTGAAGTAACCGTCCCTGTCTCTCTGCAGCCAGCTCTCCTGCCCCTGCAGCAGAGGGGGCCAGCGAGGCCAGGAACCCCTCCTTGCCCTTCCAGGCCCCCAGGACAGCTGCCAAGGCAGACAGCAGCTTGCCAGCCCACATCTCCAGCGAGGTGACCCAGAGACGCAGCTACCAGGGGTATGGCTTCCCTTCGGGGGGAAGGAGGGGTAGGCTTGGGAGGAGGCTGAGAATCTCAGGCTGCGGGGGGGGATAGGGCCACACACTGCACCCAGCAGCACAGCTGGACACTGCACCTCCAGCCGGATGGGTACGTTCCCCACTAGTGCCCCCTAGCCACACCCTGGGTGCGGGGCAGCCCCATGCCCAACCATTTATCCCTGGCTGGGTTTCCTAACCCCTCCCACAGGGCGCACGGTCTCGGGGCGGTGGCTGTCGAAGGGGAGCCCCCTGCCTTAGGGGATCAAGCAGCCAGATGTGCCCAGGCTGCCCCCCAAGGCCTCCCCAGCCCCTGCTACATGTAGGGCCGGACTCGACAGGGGGCAGCGGACTGGGTTTGTAGGGCAGGGATTGGGCGACACCTGGTGCTCAGTAGCTGTCACTGCAGCTGAGTTTTATATGTCTTCACCTCCAGCTCCAGCGCCCACCGGGCGGATGGGGCAGGCGAGTTGGGAACGCAGACTCTGCTCTCCGGAGCGCCCCGCTCCCCGTGATGCAGGGGTATCAGGAGGGCTTGTCCCTGGTGTTCCCAGAGCCCGGTTTACTGGCTGACAGCCGCAAGCTGCTGCTGTGGCCGATGGCAGGGGCCTGGGGAGGGAGGTTGTTTTGGAGGGTTTTTTTGTCCTGGGATTCTTGGTCCAGGGAGATTCGGATCGGATGACAGACCCCCCCCAGCTGTCCCCCACGATTCAATGTCCCCCACGCTGGCCTGGGTGCCCCTCACTCCCCAGGAGGGGGATCTGCAGTGCACAGGGATGGATGCCCCAAGTCTCCTTGTCCCACCAGCCCGAAGGGCCTGCCGTGCTGTGGGGTGGCTCCCCCTGGAGCATGTGAATTCCTGCCGCCCCCCAGAACCGCTTGGCTGCCCGGGGCGGGTGTGTGGGGACTGACTGGGCTGCTCATGTCTCCCCTTCCAACCCTCCCCTTTCGCTGCGAGCCCCAGCGCTCTGGTTGTCTGGAGGTGCATATCCCAGAGGGCTAGACGGGCAGCAGAGCTGGGTGCCCCAGGCAGCCCTGTAAGGGAGGCGTCCCTCCCATCCCAGGCTCCACAGTGGGTCAGCCGCAGTCCTGGATCCTCTCTTTAGCACAGGCCTGCCCCCCTGCAGTGCCCAGGCTTCACTGCATGTCCCTGCCCCCCCCCCCCACCTCCCGTCTCCCCAGGGCTGCCGGGGAGTCGGCTGGTTTGGATTGCAGCAGCTCCCCCGCCCCCGAGGAGAGCGGGGGCATGTTCCTGCTGAAGAAAGACAGCGAGCGCAGGGCCACCCTGCACCAGATCCTGACGGAGGAGCAGCCCAGCATCGTGGCCGCCTTGGAGGAGGCCCAGAGCCAGGTCAGTGCCGGCCCCTCGAAGGCTCGGCAGCCAGGCCCAACCCCTCCCCTGCACGCGGCAGACAGCACGTGGCTCCGACCCCTCTGCAGCAGGTCAGGGGCTAAACTCCCCGTGCCAGGCTGGGGGCCACTCATTCAGCCTGGCTCCAGATGGGGGGGGGGGTCCTGCAGTCGCTTTATGGCCTTTGTCCTTTTCCTGGAGCCCGTCACGTACGACTTCCATCCACTCACTCGCTCTGGCGCGGGGTGCGTCTGAGACCCCTCCCGCTGCCAGCCCAGCCTCGCGTGGGAGCCCGTCTGCGCTCGCGCCCCCAGGCTGAGCCTTTCCCTTCCCCGTCCAGAGCTGGGACAGAGGGAGGCTGTCCTCGGAGCACATCGCCCAGCTGGTGTCCTGCCTCAAGAGCTACATCCGCTCCCCCAGCCGCCGGCAGCTCAGCCAGGACCTGCTGGGGCTCCAGGCCCCGCTGCAGGCGGAGGGCCTAAGCCTTCGCCACGTGCAGGTGCCACTCTTCAGCTTCCAGGACACGGTGAGTACTCAGCCCTTCCCAGGAGGCTGCTGGGCCGGGCCGGCCCACTTCTCCCTCCACACCTGGCCCGGGACCTTTAAAACTCAATTGCCCCAAGTACCGAGCACCCACTGCCTTTAACACCTCACCGGGCAGTCGCAGGAGCATGGTGGGTGTGGCCAATGAACAAAGGGGGTGGAGCTTCTGTAATCCCAGGCCCGGTGGGGACCCCAGAGGGAGCTGGGGGGTCGCCCCTCGGGGCCTGCGGTGGACTCGGCGTGGCAAGGTCTCCGGCTGGCTCCAGTGCCGGCGCGGCCCATCCTCTCCCATCCCTGCAGGTGAAGCAGCTCCTACGGCAGCACCAGATCAAGCCGCACTGGATGTTCGCCCTGGATAACCTCATGGGCCAGGCCGTGCAGGCAGCTTTCACCATCCTCGTGACAGGTGCGTGGGCGGGCGGGTGGGGGGAGCTGTGTGGTAGCCCTGGCTCCGGTTCCGCTTGGCTCCGGTTCCGCTTGGCTCCAGCCCCAGGGGGAATCGGGGCCCGGCCGGGCGGCAGCTGGGTCCCTAGCGGAGCGGCAGTGGGTTTGCGGCTGGGGCGGGGGTCCCATCGGAGTGCTTTGGGGTGCTGCTAAGGTAACTTTTCATATTGGGACTGTATATAGAGACGGCAGCAGGAGGCCTCCGGCCAGGGCCTTGAGACCCAGCTCTCTCCACCTTATCAGCTGGCAGAACCCCTGGGCCCTGCCCGTGGAGTTCTGTGCCCGAGGCCGTCGGGCATGGCCCTCCCCAGCTCCAGCAGGGAGATTTCCCACCAGGAAGCACGGGGCGCCTGCCCGGGCCTAGAGTCGTGGGAGAACAGAGGCAGTCAGATGCTACCGCTAGTCCCACTGCTGCTCCCACCCCTGCCCGTGGGGCTGCCCTGACCCTTCGGCTCCCAGTGCCCAGAGGCATCCCTAGGGCTCACGGCCTTCTGCCCACCGTCCCTACCCCAGGCCAGCCACCTCCCCGCTCACCTTCTTTCTCCCGCGCTTCCAGAACTCCGGGTGAAGCCGCCGCATCTCCTGGGCAAAGAGGGCAGCGAAGAGGAGGTGGAGGAAGATCCAGAGGTGCAGGGAGCGCCTCCTCCCCCGAGCCAGCCCAGCGGGGGGAGGGGCAGCGTGGAGACCCCAAGTTCTGGCGTTGGCAGCGGCACCAGCACCGAGCTGGGCTTCTGTACTGCCCCGGCGGACTCCCTGCCACTCCTGCTGCAGCTCAGCCGCCTCCGCGCGGAGACGGGCAGGTAGGAGCGCCCAGCTGCTCTCCCGCGTGGAGGGGAGCCTGGCCCGCAGCCAGCTGTTGGGCCCAAAGGGTCGGGAGGCGTGGTCTGTGCCAGCCTCTGCCCGCGGGAGGGGGCAGCACCCCACAGCCGCCCTCCTGGCCTGGATCCACACACCAGGGCGGTGCCACTCTCCCAGTCCAAGGGCAGTAGGATCCACACTTGGGCTGGGCTCCCAGCTGTGGCTCTGACGTGCCCAGGCTGGGCGGGGTGGAGGGCGGGGGAGTACAGTAGCAATCGCCCTCCCCCCAACACACACACACACACACACACACACACACACACACACACACACACACACACACACACACACACACACACACACACACAC